CCACGATATTCTTTGATTTTCGTTTCGCTATCGATGCTTCAATAATATTAATAATATTAATGGGAGCTATTTTCTACAAGAACGATGGCTTAATAACTTTCCTTTCGTCACGAATGCCCCGTTTTTTCCCGAGCGTCATCCCTCCTCGATCGTTTAATCCCCGTGTTCTCCATCATTCTCGTTCTTCAATTTTCGACTCGCTATCGATCCATCGCTCCAATATTTAAACTATCGTTGTCTAGCTAACTCGAAATTTCTTCCTCTAACCACATTGTCTGCTTCTGCCGATCGTACGATGACAATTTTTGTCGATTGAGACATGGCTTTATACATTCGCCCTCTTTGAATCTCAAAGTGTCATCAACGCTGGCCTTCAGTTTTCAACTCGCTATCAATGCATCGCTAGTAATTAACTTATCGTAAACAAAATTCTTGTACGAACTCTCTTTCTCGCAATTCTGTCGCTTAGCTCGTTTAACTTTTCAAGTTATATACGTTCACCCTCGTCTAGCAGCTTTCCGACATTTTTCTAGTTTTCGACTCGCTATCGATTCGTCGCCAATAATCAACCTAATTGTCGTCGACTATCGTAACTCTATCGCAGGCTTTTTATCCCGCATCGTGCACTTCTTCCTTCTCGGCCCCTATTTATCCTAGCTCGTTGAACTTCCAAGTATCATACATACATTCACCCTCGTCTTTATCCAAACTCTCGCAGGCAACTGTCTGACATTTTTCCAGACTTCCCGACTCGCTATCGACGTAGCAATCCTCGACAACACTCGCAAAGGACGACGAACATATTTTTTTCACGTCTCGGCAGAAGGTAACTCTCTTCTGCCCCCTTTGTCCCGCATCGTTCGCCACGAGTGCCCCGTTTCCTCCTTGCTCGTTTAACCTCTTACGTTCTCCCTTGTGCTGTTCTTTCTTTCTTCTCTTTCTCTCTCTCTCTCTCTCTCTCTCTCTCTCGTTTCTTTCTGCTCGCGAGGAATCAAGAGGCAAAAGAATGAGGCGCATCGGGGAGTGGGCAAGACGATTGCGTGCCCTGCGAGCGAAATAGCGAACGTCGTTTCGAATTATTATCAAAAGCCGAGGCATCATTCTGGATAATGAGCGGACGTTACCGCGACAGGGCAGAAAACTCGGGTCGCCGTTTCGTGGGAAAAACACGGCCAACGCTCACTCTCGCGGCCACCTACCCGCGACAACCACGTTACCGCGATCATGGTTCAAGGCTTCAGGCCGAGTCATTCGGTGTTTAAAGACTGTTATATGTCCCGACATCGGTTCGAAGATATAACACGTTTGCCCCGTAGCTCGTTGGTCGAAGAACATCCCCTTCGTGGATTCTTGCTAAACTCGACAAGCGACTTTTGTCAAAGATATCAATCGCCATTTGGTAGGTTTATAGTTTAAATCTGTCGTTGATTTGTAATTTTATTATATCTTTGATACTGTGGATTTTGAAACTCGAAGCTGCAAAATAATATGCAAATCGTTCAGTCGTTTTGGAATTTCTCCGTACATCAAAGAGCTTTTTATCATCCGTAAAATAAATAAATAATAGCAATATACAGCGAGTGCACTTGTGAGAAACTGGAGAGTGCAAAAATGTATAAATCGTTCAATCATTTAGATCTTCAATGGTTCGACAACTCTTTTGTACATTAAAGAATATTTTACTCGTTATTAAATGAATAAATAATAATAATGTACAAATATGTAGAAAATATCTGTTTTTAATAATTATAATATTTAATAGGCAACATTCCTGGATTCTACTCTCTCTTTTCTTTTATTATATATCAACTTGCATAAATATTTACAATATTCTATTCTAATCGAAAAGTTCAGAAGCCAATCAGTGAATATCACTTCTCATTAAAAGCAATTGCCACGTAAAGATGTTTTTATTGACGTTCAGTTTAATTACTACGTCGTAATAATTATATTATAATTGCCATATTATAGCAACTAAACGGTTTTATTCACTGAACGCTTTGTCAACAAAGAAACATTCGTGTTGCACAAGTTTTTGTTTTTAACCCTTTAACTGTGGATAATGTCAGTAGCATCGAAGCACGATTATCGACGAGTATTTCACAAACATAATTTCTCAGAATAAGGCGACTCATGCATTGCAGACGAACGTGCGGTCATATCAAATTTGTTTTAAATCAGTATTTGATAATTCAGAATAAATGAAACTGCCTTTTTTTTT